AGAGGTTGAGAAGGACAGCAATAATCAGATCCTATGATTGGGCGTCATAATAATAAGATGCTGATTTCTCTTGCCCTTACATTTTCTTCCAGTCACACTTTATGACTTTGTTTGGAATTCTTTTTTTCTATCTCCATTCCACTGCCATAAAAGAATAACAGCAGATATTCTTAATATGTGTGAGGCATATATATGAAGAATATAATATTTATTAATATCTTTGACATACAAATTATTTAAAGAGCATCTCTTTTTAAAAAATATTTTTAGTTGTTGATGTACCTTTGTTATTTATTTATTTATATGTGGTGCTGAGGATTCGAACCTGGTGCCTCACACATGCTACAACTCCAGCCCCAAAAGAACATATCTTAAAAAGAGATGAGATGGAAGGGCTGGGGATGTGGCTTAAGCGGTAGCGCGCTTGCCTGGCATGCGTGCGGCCTGGGTTCGATCCTCAGCACCACATACAAACAAAGATGTTGTGTCCGCTGAAAACTAAAAAATAAATATTAAAATAAAAAAAAAGAGATGAGATGGAGCCAATTATGGGAAGAAATGAATAAAAGAATGTTTCAAGGAGGAGAGTCCACATGACAGAACAAAATGGGATGGCCAGAAATGATAAAAAGAAAAGCAGTTCCTGACATGGAAGGTGTTCAGATTAGCTGAAAGAATAAATGGTAAAAATAGAATGAAATGCCAAAATTATGCAGAGAGAGCAAAGATATGTTCCCAGCTACCTTGTTCTCCCACCTAGCTCCTATTTAATAGATGAACATCTACTTTACGTATTGTTCTCATAAATACAAAATGCTAACTACAACAATTTATGATAAATTTAAAGTTATTTATGCCAAACACCTTAATCAGAACCTGATGCATCTGCAATACACAATGACCATCATTACATTCTGAAGATAGTTAAAAATTACGGCAAAATGTTGCATTCCTAAAGTTGATCCACAGAACCTAAAATGACATGCCACTGTCTAGCATCTGGTCAAAGTCAATTGCTTTGGCTCTAAACCAGGACTTACCTTTTCTGTTCCTTTTCTCTGATAGCTTAGAACTTCTGGACTCCATAACTGAACACACTGATTATTGTAAATGTCCTTTATAAGCTATGAAGTCTGAATTTGAGGCCTAATTTCTTACCTCTATTTTGAAACCTGTTTCCCACCCCAGATTAACACATTCTCAATAAGTTCATCAGAACCAAAGTTCCTTTGTGCCCTCCTGTTAGCCTGCCTTTATTTTAGTACATTTAGTACCTTTAGTCCATTCCCACTCATCTGAGTCTTACTCTGATTTTTTTTGTCCACTAATAATCCATATCCAATTGCTTGCTGAGCATTTCTGCATGCATACCATATTCTATGTTAAATTCAAAATCACAAAGGCCAAATTCATTATTTGTTGCCAAATCAGTTCCTTTCTTTTTATTTTACTTATTTGTATTGAGGATTGAACCCAGGGATGCTTTATCACAGAGCTATATCCATGGTCCTTTTTATTTTTTATTTTGAGATAGGGTCTTTTTAATTCCTGCCTCAGCTTTCCGAGTCACTGGGATTACAGGCATGCATCACCATCCCTGTGTTCTGTTCTTCTCTTCTCAAGCTCCCTGATGTGGCTACTGACCAATCAGAATGGATGTACAACCACTCAGAATGCTGTAGGAGTAGATCAAATTATTGTATTGGGTCAATGTCAGCCCTGGCCACAATCCTTCCTAAACTTCTTGAGGTTGTCTGTTTATCATCTCCCTTCATCATCTCCTTTTCCTTGCTTAATCTAAACATTTTAGTCCTCTCTTCTATCAGAATTCCTCCTGAGGAGGTCATCAATGGCCTTCTTGTTGTTAAAATTAATGGATTTTTTTTTTTTTT